TTTTACATCATTGCTAGAGACGTAGGAAGAGATAATAACCACACCAGAAACCTTGAAGAATTTCTCCGGGCTTTGAGCTTGAAGGATGTCCCGGTTTGGCTAAGCTGTTGTGTCATCACTCATTCTTGTTTGCCTGAGTTCCAGGAAGCTCCTCAGACCCAGGCAGAGTGACATGTTTGGTCACCTACTGAGCTTGTGAAGAACTTGCTTCCCAAAGATGCAAGTTGAAGAGTTGTACTCAAATCAACAACAATAACCATAGCTCTGGGTGGAGGTGAGGGTGATGAGGAGGAGATGGGATAGGATGCAAGGTAGGCATGAAAAGATACTACAGTTCAAGTGGATGACCCATATTAAGGAATCAGAACAGGTATCTTCCTGTAATTTCTTGTAAGATACAGGGAAAAAATTATCCAAGTTCAAGAGGACACAGGTATGAAAATACAGTAAGTAATATGAAATACATTAAAGATAAGTAAAAACAATGATAAGAGAGCACAATTGTTCAATTTAAAACACAGTGTAAGTACTGACAATCAGGTAGATGACAAAAAAAATGAAATCAGTGAGCCTAGCTGGTGTTGCTCAGTAGATTGAGCATTGTCCCATGGACCAAGAGGTCCCGGTTTGATTAAGAAAAGATAATTTCATCTATTTTAAAGTTTTAAAATATATTTACTTTTATTAATTGCATTTTTTCATTACTAGTGAGAATATTTTCCATAGTGTATAGTATATTCTCATTATTTATTGTAGTTAATTTTGTAAAGTTGTTGCATACACTGAAATAGTGAAAACTGAACCATTGCTGTCAGGGGAAATACAGAATTAGGTTCCTGCTGACCTGTGGTCAAAACATTGTTATAAACTGATTATTATATAACCTTTTAATGTATGTTTCTGTTAAAAGACACCTTATATAATATAATGTTGAATGTTAACCAGTATGGGTTTTTCAATTATAGCTCAACCATTCAAGGCAGTGTTATATAGCCATTAAAAATAGCGTTTGATAACACAGTGAAACTCTTTGCAATACATTGTGACATGAACACAGGTGATTATGATGCAGTAAATGCCATTAATTAACAAAATACACTTTTGTAAAAAAAAAAATACAGTCACAGATATTGATTAATCAAGATGACAGGATGCGTTCGGGTCTTTCATAATAAAATTAACCATTTTTTTTCTCAGTGCAAATTAACCATTATAAAGTAGTAACAGGACATTGGGGCCTGCGATATCTATTTTCAGTGAAGAAGCTCAGTAATTAGGGGTGGTAAATATTCTTTATTCTTGGTTTAGTGCAAGTACCTCCATCATTTTTTGGTTTGGTTCAGCTCTCTTTATTCTGTCTTTTTGAGGGCTATGATTTAGAGCTAATAAATTTCTACCAATTACTAGTTCTAAACCTTACTGGTTAGTTGGTTTTCTGCTGTGCCTTCACCATTTTAAAAATAGAAACCACTTTTTTCATCCCTTGATGTTTGGAAATTGCTTGTATTTATATTTTTATATATATACATGTACACATTATATACATAATAAAGATATACGTTCTATTGCCAAATTTTATAGTGAACATACCATTATTTCTTATATAACCATTGGAAGATAATTACTTTAAAAAAATAATAAATGCCAGATTTTGCTGAAATGGTTTAGGTCTGCTTCTGTCTTGCTTCTACTCCAGATACATTATTAACTTTATTTCTGTCTGACCTGCCTATAATTTTTTTGAACAGTGTAGCTCAGCCTTTCTTCACCCGAGACTCAGATGTTTAAGACATTATTCAAGTTGTTTGCCCATTTTAAAATTGGGTTATTCATCTTATTATTGAATTGTAAGAGTTTTATGTATTCTGGATACAGTTCTTCATTGGATATGAGTTAGGAATATTTTCTGTCAATCTGTAGCTTGTGTTTTCATTTTCTTGTTGGTGTGTTTTGAAGCACAAAAGTTTTTTTATTGTAATAAAGTTCAATCTGTCAGTTTTTTCTTTTGTTAAAAGTGCTTTGGATAGCCTAAGAAATCTTTACCTAATCCAACGTTAAGAAGATTTATGCCTGTTTTCTTGTAAGAGTTTTATTGTTTTAACTATTACATTTAATTTTATGATCCATGTTATGTAGGGTGTCTTCTTTTCTTTTGTTAAATAGATTCTCAAGTATTAGGTTGTTTTTTATGGTGAATGAATGAATGGATTAATTAACTTCAATTTTTAAAAATATTCCATGTACAAGGGAGATCATACAATATTTGTCTTTCTCTTTCAGACTTACTTCATTTAGCATCATGCCCTCAAGGGCCATCCAAGTTGTTGCACACGACAGGATTTCCTTCTTTCTTATGGCTGAATAGTAGTCCATTGTGTACATATATATACATTTCATTTTCATTATCCATTCATCTCTCCATGGACACGTAGGTTGTTTTCATGTCTTGGCTATTGTAAATAATGCTGTCATGAACAGGGGTTAAAATAAATCTTTGACATAATGATCTTGTTTCATTCAGATATATACCCAGAAGTGGAATTGCTGGATTTTAAATTTTTTATGGACCCTCTGTACTGTTTTCAGTAGTGGTTGTACCAATTTACATTCCAGCCAACAGTGCACAGGGGTTCTCTTTTCTTTACATCCTCACTAGCTTTTGTTATTTATTGTCTTTTTTCATGATAGCCATTCTAACAGGCACAATGTGATATCTCATTGTGGTTTTGATTTGCATTTCCCTTTCATTTGCATTGAGCACCTTTCATGTGCCTGTTGACACTTTGAATATCTTCTTTGGAAAAATGTCTATTTAGATACCTTGCCCATTTCTTAATTGGCTTATTATTTATTTTTGCTATTGAGTTATATGAGTTTGCTGGTGTGATTCCTGATCAGGGCACATGCCTGGGTTTCTGGTTCAGTCCCCAGTAGGGTACATGCAGGAGGCAGCCAACTGATGTTTCTCTTTCATTGATGTTTCTTTCTCTCTCTCTCTCTCTCTCTCCACCCCTTTCCCTTCCTCTCTCTCTAAAACTCAATAAAAACATTTTAAAAAAATTTTAAGAGAAAAAGTCTTTTTTTAAAACATATATTTGGTGTTTCTGGTACTCTGATTCTCCGTGAATTTTTGAGTTACTATTTGGTGTCATTTTCTTGCTCCAATATAGTTCTATCCTCCCCCCTTTCCTTTGTGTTTGGGATACTTTATATTTTTTTAAATCTCTTTTCCTGTTTCTTTACCTTTAAATTTTTCTCCTTAGGCATGTAATGTATAACTTGATGACTAGAGGTAACAGTGCTGTATGATATATAGGAAAGTTGTTAAGAGAGTTAATCTTAAGAGTTCTCATCACAAGGGGAAAATGTTTGTCTTTTAATTGTATCTCTATGAGATGATGGTTGTTATTTGTGGTAACCATTCACAATATCACAATATATTGGTCTCCATAGTAGAGATTCATTTTTTTACTCCTTTTATTGTTGTGGCATACTGCTGAAGACCTGGGAATTCTGGAAGACTTTAAATTTGGACTTAAACTGTGTATGATATTACAGCTGTTCATTTAAAAAGTGGAAGAAACCACTTCGGAAATAGACATTGTGGCAGTTGAGACGGAAAAGTAATTTGCTAGGTAAGAGAGAATTAAGGAAAATGAGAGAAGAAAATTGCAGTGATGTTTGGTGGCAGAGTAGATAGATATAAGGTTCTAAAATAGGAAGTTTGTTTGGTAAACCAATTATGCTAATCTCGTGTTTAGTTTTTTAAACATTTGCCCCAAATGTAAAACACCTTAGGCTAGGACCATTTCATGTGCAGTAACAGATGCTAATTCTGCTCAATCATTATTTTATTTATCTTAATTGAATTTATTTTACTGGTAGTCTCTTAGATGTTACAGATCATCAAATGACCTCAGTACCTAAAATTGGATTGTCTTTCCTAAAATACATGATATTCTTTATTTCTCTTCAGTTGCTTATATTCCCCTTTCCTCCTTCCTTCCCTTTTTTCTTCCTTAGGCTGTTTATGAAAATATTATATTTGATATTGTGAAAATATCAAAGCATTTATTTTCTTGAATACTATTTTGGCTCAAAACATTTTTTTTTTTTTCATCATTCAAGAGTATTTACTGATTACATCACTCTCCATGACACTGCAAAGTTCTGTGTCTTTAGTACCAATCAGGCTCTCCACCTTTTCTTTCATATAGCATGGATTGCTTGTGGAACGTTTAGGTCTGCTTTGTCTCATGAACACATTCTGCCAGTGGCAGGACTTCCTTTTTGCTACGTGACTTTTGGAGGTTAAGAAACCATATAGCAGAAAGCCAGCTGAGATGATATTTTGCTGGAGCTAGACTGGGGGTTGCAGAGAAAGCTCTACCAGAATGCCTTTTTAGCCTCATGTGTATGTTTTTGCTTTCAGTTATCAAAACCATAAGAAGTGATGGAAGAAATAGGCTTATAGAGTCTTTATTCTTCCACATCAAGAAGGGAAAAAACGTATTGCTGATTTAAAACTACTTCCCAGTGCCAACCATAAACCCTAGGATTTTTCTTTTTGTACACCTTTCTCTTTCTAACGAGGTGAATTGTGTGGAAGGATGGAAAATGTGAGTCCAGAGATGGGAATAGACAGCAGTGCTAATACTTGGGCCTTCTCTGTGTGGTAGCTTCTGGTGAACCTGGGGGCTGCTACCAAGTTAGGGACCATTCTGCAGTAGGGACCATTGGTTTGGGGGTTTTTGGACACGATGAAAATATATTTGAATTTACTATATGACTTATTTTTCACAGGTGTATTTGACCCTAAGATATATGTTATTCAGGATTTGTATGTGTTAATGTGGACTACAAAACCTTATTTAATGGGAGAGATGAAGTTTTGATAGAAGAATAAAATTTAGAAATGTTTGAGTTTTTCTCTTTGTGTTATTAGGCAGGCAGTGGTTAAAGGTTCCCTTCCTCATCCTTTTGCCTTGACGTTATTTGAGGACACGTTGTACTGGACTGACTGGAATACACACTCCATTTTGGCTTGCAACAAGTACACTGGCGAGGGTCTGCGTGAAATCCATTCTAACATCTTCTCTCCCATGGATATACATGCCTTCAGCCAACAGAGGCAGCCAAATGGTAAGTGATCTTGATTTTTAAATTGCAAGTTGGAATAGCTCTGCTAGCACTGTGATGTGTCTGGCGTTCTTGAGAGGCAGGAGGAAGGGAGGACCTGGTAGCAGGGAGGAATTAAAAAAATAGGGAAATCATCAGAATATAACTCAAGTTAAACAACAGCCTAAACCATTTGTAGCTTGATATCTAGCACTACAGATCACCTCAGCCCCTTTTTTGGGTTTAGAATTATGGAGGTGGAGAAGAGGAAAATAAAACAAGAAATTGAGATAGCTCATACAAATGTATTTCCTGTTCATATTTTGTCTCTCTAATGTGTGTTTGATATTTCATATGAGTTTTTTTTTTTTTTTATCCTCACCCGAGGACATTTTTTTTTTTTGCATTTATCTTCAGATAGAGCAGGAGGGAGAGAGGGGGGAAGAGAGAGAGAGAAACATCGACGTGAGAGAGACACATTGACTGGTTTTCACCCACATGGGGACAAACTGCAACCTAGGTACATGCCCTTATTGGAGACTGAACCCGGGACTCTCTGATCTGCAGGCTGGTGCTCTAACCATTGAGCAAAACCGGCCAGGGCTCATATGATTATGTTTAAAAACAAACTCTTCTTGAATGGAATTTTCTGTTAATCTAACTGGTAAATTTAAGTACATCAGGTTGCTGAATAAAATACCTACATAAACTTTTCTGTGTGCACCACCCCTAACCCCTTTTCTCTTAGTTTTGCTTTTGTTTTTTGATTAACCTTTCAAATGGCTTGGGCTGTGACTGCCGACAACAATTACTTACAAAAGGGAATAGAATTAAGTTTTAAAAGAATATGAGAATGTTAAGTGTTTGGCACTTGTGTGTAAATAAATGTTTGGCATGTGTGATTGTATTCCATTGCCAAAAATGAAGAGTTTTTGAATTATGCATTGCTTTGTATTAGCTCCTTCCATTTAGGGAGACATAGTCAAATGTTGAATTTTTTATATTGGAATCTTGTGATCATGAGTCCATAAAAATGTTCTTCAAATGTATGTATTACTCTTTTGTAAAGAAGAAAATATTTAGTATGAAATTTTTATTCTCATGATTAGCCTTCAGGAAAGAATTTCCCTGTTTATTTGTTTTTAAATTGCACTGTTGATCCTTTGTGTTTTACTAATTTGAGAATTTTGCAGTTATCTGTGATATTACTTTCTTTTGTCTTTCATATTTTGTTGGTCTCTTATATTGATTTTTTTCTATGAATATTACTTAAATCCATTTTTTTCATAGTTTCTACAAATTTGGTAATTAATCTCTGCTTCTCTGTTTTCCCTTTTTTTAATCCATATGCTATCTTTTCTGTTAATCTTTCCAAAATGTGATTTTTTTGACTTTGGAATTACTTTTATTGGCTATCAGTGCCCTCCACCAGTCTATTCCCATTCTCTGTACTCATTCAACTTCAGTTCTTAGTCAACAGAAACCTTAATCTTCAGTTAGACTATTCACCTTATTATCTCTCCCACTGTACAGTCTCCAAGCTTTTATTCATATGGTTTTATCACACTTGATATGTCCTCTCATCTATCTTTCCTATCCTTCAAGGCTCCTGTCATGTCCTACATCCTCTATGAAGCCTTTTTTGTTTTTAATCCCTAGTGATTTATTTCCCATTTGACTCTCTATACTTATTTACACAGTCTATAATGTGCAAGATAGGATTCAGTTTCATGGTTTTATATTGATTTCTAGTTTTATTGTTTGTTAATTTTGGCATGCTGGCTAGATTGTAAGCTCTTTCAGGGCAGGGACTGCCTGCTTTATTTCCTGTATATTCCTCTTGGGTACTGAATGCTAAGTGAATTCTTACTGATTAGTTCCCTTCCTTGCAGATGGTCTAGTAGTCAAGCACCTGGATAACATTTGGTAATCATTTGGTTTATCACAGTTGTTCATGTTATGGTTGTTAACCTTTGTGTACCTAGCGTGAGGGAGGTCATCTATAATCATTGGTATTAATCAGTGTGATTTATATTTGACAGCTACAAATCCATGTGGAATTGATAATGGTGGTTGTTCCCACTTGTGTTTGATGTCTCCAGTCAAGCCTTTTTATCAGTGTGCTTGCCCAACTGGGGTCAAACTCCTGGAGAATGGAAAAACCTGCAAAGATGGTAAGAACATGGTCTTCAGGAAGAAAAAATTTTAAATAACAATTAGGATTCTTTATGATTTATTTTATTTCTCTGTAGGTAATAGTGCTTTGGGAGACTCGTTACTTAATCTGTCTTCATAATTGATTATAAAACAGGAGTGTTTTGTGTTTTTTGGCCTCTTGAAAGCTATTTTAAAAATTATTTTAGTATTTTTAACATGCTATTTTTGAAAAAAATTTAGGTGCTATTTCTTTTTTCTATCAACTCTTGTAGTCATTTATATATCACAGTTGATTCCTATGGAAATGAGTATTCTCATGAAGAATACATTTTTAACAGTAGATAGCACTTGTACATAGAGAATCTCTGTGCAAGGAAAATACGTTTATTAAACTTTTAAGTTATGAAAGAGTTTCAAGGGGGTAGATAATGTTTTCTGAAAAATAATTGAATGATATTTATAATTGCCTTTTAACAACAGAGAAGTGCTTTCAGAAGAAGAAAAAATTCCATATTGTACTGTTTAAAGCAACCTCTCTATATGTAGCAGCTACACTGCTCTTCTCCTTACTTTCTTAATTCTCTAGAGCAGCGACTTTCAACTGGTGTGCTGCAAGAATTTTTAAACATGTAATACGTACCTGACTGTTCAGTCAGGATCACTGATCTCTTTTCCCTTAGACTGTCAAATAAAAAAATGATAACAGCCAACATAAGAGCTGTCCAACGTGAATGAATCAAAATTAAACTTTTTTTGTCAGATCGGCAAAAAATATATTTTTTGGTGGGACTCAGAATTTTAGTAATTATTTTATGTGTGCCATGTGATGAAAAAATTTTGAAAATTTTTATAGAATTTTCTGCTCTATAGAGAGAGAGCATGTTGGAAAGGTATACGGATTAGGACATTTGAAAGGACTTCTGGTTTGGGAGAACACGAGTTCTTCCCTTTTCTTCTTAATGAGAATGTTTTCCTTCATTCTTACACCTATGGATCACCATCTGGTTCTCTAGCCACCAGCAAGACCTGGTAAGAAAATTTTTGTATTTAGCAGTGGCTTCTTTATCTAACTCTGAAAAGCAGAAGCCTTTATTTTCAGAGTGGGATAGAGAGTTCCTGGCAAGGGGGTCAAGGAGTCAGAGAGATGGAATTGAGCCGGTGTACAAGATATTTGTCATGACTTGGCATTGATAAATTATCCTCGTAGTCAAAGGTGAAGCTGGCTGACTCTTGTCAAATGGTTTCCATGGCAAACAGTAATTTGGTTTCAATTTAAAACAAAAGATTTTTGTAATGTTGCTTATTTGTTTAAAAGTATGTAGCCTGACTTTAAAACAGCATTTATTTTAGAAATAGTGGTCTATCTACTCCCTCACAGCAAGCAAATGTACATGTTTACTGTTTTTGAAATTCAGATATATACATTTGGCATGTAGTAGCCTTAATTTAACTATTCTGTTTTGATCACCTTGCTCAAATTAACAGCTTCACTTTCTATGACTTCTTTGTTGACAAAGTTTTGGGCCGGCTCCTTTGATAGTTCTAGCAGAGTCAGTGAATTTTACATTATTCTACTTGGTGCCTGCTATGGCATTTAGGGCTATGTTTTCTCAAAATAGAGTTCATTTACAATTAATTCTACATTAAAAAAGCTGGTGTTGAGAATTTTACTCTTCTCAGTTTAAAGCCAGTATTTTCTTTTGCACTCATTCCTTTGGTTGGGAATCTTTTTTTTTTTTTTTTTATCCTCACCCGAGGATATCTTTCCATTTTTTGTACAGATAGAGTGGGAGGGAGAGAGAGGAAGGGAGAGAGAGTGAGAAACATCGACGTGAAGGGACACATCGAGTGGCTGCCACCCGCACGACCAATCAGGGCCGGGGACAAACTGCAACCGAAGTATGTGCCCTTAGCGGGAACTGAACCCGGGTCTCTCCGGACCGCAGGCCGACGCTCTAACCGCTGAGCCAAACTGGCCAGGGCATGGTTGGGAATCTTTTTCACTCTTTCAGATGTCAGTTTTCTTACTATCTTTTTTTGTTAGATGACATTTTGCTAGTGACTTACTTGAACAATTACAGATATTCTCAGTCTCAGCTATGTTTTTATTGAGTACTAATTTGAGTTTAAAATAGTTCATAAATAAATCAGATTTAAAACTCGGTGAAATAAAATTTGAAAGTATTTTGTAATGATAATAATAATAGCAAATGTTTATTGAATACTTTTATGTTTAGTACATTCCTGAGTCTTTGCAGTAGCCCTATGAGATACAGACAAAGCAACTAGGTTTGGAGAGATTGGGTATTTTGCCTAAGTTTGTATAGCTACTTGAAATCAGTTCTAGCAATCTACAATTCTTACTTTTAACCACTGTTTTACATTTATCTTATTCCTTCTTGTCTACTCCTGCTATTTCCTTCTCCATAGCCTCCTTTGTCCTGGTTCAGTCAGGCATTAGCTTATAGTTATCTTTGTCAAAACAGCTTTACTGAAATATATTTTACATACAATAAAATTCAACCATTTTGCCCTGGCTGGTTTGGCTCAGCGATTAGAGCGTCGACTCATGGACCAGAGAGTCCCAAGTTCAGCTCCCACTAAGGGCATGTACCTCGGTTGCAGTTTGTCCCTGGCCCCAGTTGGGGTCATGTGGGTGGCAACCACTCCATGTGTCTCTCTCACATCGATATTTCTCTCTCTCTCTCTTCCTTTCTTTTTCCCTCCTGCTCTATCTGAAGATAAATGCAAAAAACAAACACACACACAAACAAAAAAACCCCACCCATTTCAAGTGTACAAGCCAATGATTTTTGGTAAATTTATAGAATTGTGCAACCATCACAATCCAGTTTTAGAACATCCTCATCAATACAGAGAAAAACCTTGTCTTAGATTTCCTTACCTTTTTAAAAACATACTTTTAAAAAATTAAAAAAAAAATTTTTTAATCCTCACCCACTGGCATTTTTCCATTTATTTTCAGATAGAGTGGGAGGGAAGGAGAGAGAGGGAGAGAGAGAAAGAAACATCCATGTGAGAGAGACACATTGACAGGTTGCCTCCCGCACAACCCTGACCAGGGCCGGGGACGAACCACTGCAGAGGTACGTGCCCTTGACTGGAATTGAACCCTCGACTCTGATCCATGGGACGATGCTCTAACCACTTAGCCAAACTGGCCAGGGCTAAAAACATACTTTTTTTTTTTTTTTTTATCCTCATCCGAGGACATTTTCCCATTTTTTACTCAGATAGAGCGGGAAGGAGAGAGAGGAAGAGAGAGAAACATCGATGTGAAAGGGATACATCGAGTGGCCACCAACCACACGACCCAACCAGGGCCGGGGACAAACTGCAGCCAAGGTACTTGCCCTTAGCGGGAACCGAACCCGGGTCTCTGTGGACCGCAGGCTAACGCTCTAACCGCTGAGCCAAACCGGCCAGGGCTAAAAACATACTTTTTAAACAAGGGACCTATATCCTGTCTCCTTTCTCCCTTAATATTCAGCTTCTTAGCTTCTTAGTCATTACTTATTATTCATTATACCTTTTAGTAGCTGTTTTATTTTCAGGGGCTATATATAATAAATGAAACCAGAGCTCAGTTATTAAAGAGCTTCACCTCATAGTCAGGCTATTCCTATTTCACTACATTACCACCTTAAATGGACCCTAGTGTTCTTTTATACTCTTTTACATTTTAATTCCTGAAGAAGTTCCGCATTCTTTTTATTTTTTTATCCTCACCCGAGGACATTTTTCCATTTTTTATTCAGATAGAGCAGGAGGGAGAGAGAGGAAGAGAGAGAGAGAGAAACATCGACATGAAAGGGACACATCGAGTGGCTGCCACCTGCATGACCCAACCAGGGCCGGGGACAAACTGCAACTGAAGTACATGCCCTTAGTGGGAACCGAACCCCGGTCTCTCTGGACTGCAGGCTGATGCTCTAACCACTGAGCCAAACTGACCAGGGCAGAAGTTTTGCATTCTTTATTTAGAGTGGCTAAATTTTGCCTGTGGGTTTCAATTTTTTCCCCCCATTTATTCTACTTTGTTCTAGGTGCCACTGAATTATTGCTTTTAGCCCGAAGGACCGACTTGAGACGCATTTCTTTGGATACACCAGACTTCACAGACATTGTTCTACAGTTAGAAGATATCCGTCATGCCATTGCTATAGATTATGATCCTGTGGAAGGTTATATCTACTGGACTGATGATGAAGTGAGAGCCATACGCCGCTCATTCATAGATGGATCTGGTAGTCAGTTTGTGGTCACCGCTCAGATTGCACACCCTGATGGTATTGCTGTTGACTGGGTTGCCCGGAATCTTTATTGGACAGACACTGGCACTGATCGGATAGAAGTGACAAAGCTCAATGGGACCATGAGGAAGATCTTGATTTCAGAGGACTTAGAGGAACCCCGGGCTATTGTGTTAGATCCCATGGTTGGGTAAGAAGCTCTGCTGATAGAAAATTTTGCCTGATGTTTTTGTTTTCTATAGGTCCCTAAATACATTGACAAAAACAATATGAATTATATATGGTTTCCAATAAGTAGCTCTTTATTGGCTTTCCATTTTTAGAATATAGTGGTTGTAATACAATCTCAAGTTAAAGAATTGCTAGTTTTTTTTCTTGAATGTTTTGAATACTTTTTCTTTCTAAATTAAGTCCATGCTCGCTGACTTTGGGTGTTGGCTGCAGATTTTGTGGAGGTTGCATCATGACCATGAAAAATGTGGAAAGAAATTGTTTTCAGAACTCTTTTTCTTCCCCTAGAAGACTTAATTTCATCCCATTTTCAGTACTTCTAGAATGCTATGGTAAAAAATATATCTTATGTTATATATTTCCGAATATAAAAATCACTCAATTTCAAAACTTTGTCAGGCTATGCAGCTTGACTCCCAGTCTTTTTTATTTGTATTTTTTTGCCATCACACCCTGATCACAGTCCAGTGAAACAAAGCTTTCTGCATACTCACCAATGTTATTTGTTAACTATGAGATTCATTCTGAGGGCAAACATAGTGACAAATCATTACACTTCTGAGTATACCAGTGCCTTAGGGCTACTTAAACTCCCAGGAGCCAGGAGAATCACTTGGCGCTATAGGGAGAGTTATTTTGGGAATTCAGTTTTTGCTTATTGCTAATTTTTGCTACTGGGATAACCTTTTTGTGTCAGAAATGACAAGCCAGCAAGAGAGAGGATTGTTCATGGGAAGGAGCGCAAATATTTTGAAAAAACTTAACTAAAAATGGAATCTCATTATTTTATTGGAAGGCATTTTTATTATCAGTTCTAGAAAACACTGATCTGAAATTCCCTACAAGCTTATACGCTGCTATTGTAAATGTCTTAAACATAGTCTTCGTATATTTAAGTGCTGTTTTTTCCCCCTTCTATGGTGTTAATTGATATCAGTGTGATATGAGGGATGGATCTAACCTTTAGGATATCTGAAAGCTACCATTTATTATCTGTTTTTAGCTCATTTTCTGTATACTTCTATAGGTACATGTATTGGACTGATTGGGGAGAAATCCCGAAAATTGAGCGAGCAGCTCTGGATGGTTCTGACCGAGTGGTGTTGGTTAACACTTCTCTTGGTTGGCCAAATGGTCTAGCCTTGGATTATGATGAAGGCAAAATATACTGGGGAGATGCCAAAACAGACAAAATTGAGGTTTGTTTCTTGCTTTTTCATTTTAAAACCAGTTTTATAATGGTTTTGAGTTGATGGTAATTTGATGTAGATATTCTTGCTTCTTGTCTGGGGTTCTAGAGGTATCTTTTACAGAAATTTTACTCAACCTTCAGGATTCTAGGAATCATGTATTTTCTTGCACCTAAACCTAGGATTTCTGAGTTATACTTGTATGAGACATGGGTATTCTTGTCTTTCTAGTCTTAAAAGCTTTTGTGAACAATTTTCTTCTGGATAAAAGCCACTGCCTGAATTTCCTAGGGGCAGTGTCTGCACAAATCAAATATTATGTGTGATCTATACTGAAAAAGCCAGTAGTCATGTCAGGCAAACAAAGCCAATATGTATGTATAGCTTTTTTGTTGTTGAATTGATTATGAGCTATGTGGGAGAAAGATTAATTAATCAAAGCTTGGGAAAAAATATTAACCAAATGGTAGAATTAAGTAGTGGCAATCAGAATAGAATTGTGGTGGAAACAACCAGTGGTGAATATTTTTTCACAGTGTTCTGTAAATGGTTTATATCTTTGATATTAAGCATGAAGTCTAAATTTCACAGCTTTGAATTAAGCTGTGCTAGAGGTCTTATGGATTGCATATTTAAAACAGAGTTTTGATCACACTATTTCTTTGGTGGATGCATGACTTTTCATATAAGGAATGACTTTGAATGGCTCTTCAAAGCCACAGCAGGTATCTCCTAGTATATAGATAATTTGGAATCTAGAGCAGTTATTTCAGAAAGGTATTCTTAGGAGTTCCAAGGATTCTGAGAGAATAATGAATTAAAGGGCCTCCCTTTCAGAATGGAAACTTGGAATAGAAAAAACCCCATCAGTATTCCCACCAGGCTCAAATACTGAAAACTGCATCTCTCATTCTTGCATCTGGTTTCCATTAATAGAAAATTTTGTGTAGACTTGACTATATAAATTTTCTCCCTGTTGTTAGTGTTTTACTGCTCCCCACCCCCCTTTAAATCCAAGTTAGTGTTTGAATCTTTAACAGCTGGAGTGCAGTGCTAATGAGACAAAGGTTATGGGTTCACTTTTCAGACAGGCTATTAGCTTCACTTGGGTTGGCTTGAATACAAATTGCACACCCATTCCCAACCATTTCACAAATGTCTATTGTTGATCAGCTGTGGACTATCCGTGAGTGTATAAGTAGTACTACTCTTAGAAAAATAGTTTAAAGCTTATGTGTCCAAGAAGAATGTTTCTACATAGGGAAGAGAACATAATTTATAGTAGAGAAGAGCACTTGATTTCTTATTTTGTAGGGATTTTTAAAATTCCATATTTGGTCTTACTTTTTTTTAGCTTACTGTGACTGATTGATTCGATTGTAAATAAAACATTTGTTTCTTATTTGGAATTTTTCAAGACTTACTTTTTCCATTTCAGGTCACTTTTTGCACTTTAGATATATAAATTTATTCAAAATCACAAGTAGTTCAGGAGGGATTCACTTAGAGAAATGAGAATTTATGGAGGGTTCTGAGTGATAGTGTTTAAGAATAAAAACGAATACATGTTACATATTAATATATAATATTGATTAAATGGGATTTATTTTCTTAGTTTGCTGTGAGTCCAGCAGATCTTAAAATTAATGTGTGTTTTGGCCTCTTTGTTCTGTTTTCCTGTGCTGTCCATGTGTATACAGTAGTGTCATTTGCTCCCTCACTTCCTTCCTTGAGTGGTACCAGCATTTTAAAACCTGATCTAGTTCTCTTCTTCCAGGTTTGCTGGAACACAGCTGTTCTTTGTCTTTGTCCTCTTCTTGACAGATTATTTGGGGTTAATGGTACATCTACTTCCACCAAATTATACACACACACACCTCCTTTTATTCTTTCCCCTGGAGATTCTGATGAAGTTTCCCTAATTGAGCATCAGTACTTTTGTCATTTATTTTCACAGACATATCTGGGAAATAAAGAGCTGGTATTGTTATTTATTCCCTTCTTAATTTATGATGATGTGTAAAATTGCTGATATATGGCAAACTAAGGAAAGAGCACAGCTCTTCATCTAAATTAATCTTATATAATTGGGGGAGAAAAACTGTTAGGTTCTCTTTCTGAGACCAGTGGTGATTATAGGAGCAGCGGTCACCACCAGTTTTTTGTCTTGCTTTACTTAATAGTAAGTGGATTATAGTGAACTTGAAAACTTCTGGAAAGCTGTATAATTTTAAAAATGCTTCTTTTTCTAAGAAGGTTATTTGCTAGTCTTTTGTTACATAGCACCTGATCCTAGGTACTGATCTAATCCTAGTCTAGGTCACATGCTGTCCTCTAGACCCATCCTTTCAAGAAAGCTTCCCAGCTTTTGCAAGGCCCCAAAATGAAAACTGCTTTTTTCCTGTATCTATAAGAAAATATCAAATTATTATTTAATAGCCCTATTCTTTTCTGGAAGACTTAGAGTTTACTTGGGATCATACTGCCCTATATGTGTTTATAGTACTTTTGGGAAGAAAAGATAGCTATGTGGTAAATTATTATGTAGCAATGCAAGGCATAGTAAATGCTTGTGTTTTGAGTGGATCTTAGGGAAAATCTCAGAATGTGCATTTGCTATCTGCCCCTCAGTGGAGATTCCTTAGGTCAGGTTCTCACTCCCTTTTTTTGTAAGGGGGATATAACCAGATGCTGTATATGTTGGGGGTATTGGGTCTAAGGATTAGGGAAACCAGAAAAAAGTAATGGGAAACTTTGGGTTTCAGGTTAGATTTTTGTTGTACAAAGTTGCAGAAAGAATGAATAGTTTTACCTGAAGTTTGTAACCATCTTCTGCAGAGAGGAATGGGGGACACAGGAAGTTGCTAATGATGTCAAACTCTTTAAAAGACAGACATAATGTTGCCCTATGCTTTAATATAAGAATGCATCTGTCAGTATGTCTGATTTTCTTACTTGTCAGCTGATAGTGACCACTTATCTGTAGGTGTTAGTTAAAGGTACATGTTGGTACTTGTTTATGCTGCTGCTTCATTATGCTGATATTTAATCACCTTTTATTGAACAGGCTTCTGATTTACTTGTCTATACTGGACTCCCCCACCCCTGCCCCGCCTAGGTGTTAATATGGTGTTTTGGGGCTTCCTGATAATAAGTATTAAAGCATTAACAGAAAGGATCATTCCTTTTTTTCTGACGGGAACATCAAATAAACCTTTATTTCTACTGTATGAGAGCCTGCAGTAGGCAGAAACACATTGTGTCTTAACAACATTCTCATTTTTCTTGGTCAGGTTTCACTGCCAAAACATCTGTTGCACTGAGGGCCTGCAGTACTGCTCACCAATAGCAAAGACAGACCATTGATAGTTCATAAGTTTAAAGCATTTTCTTGCCATTATATAAAGTTAAGAATGTACTGTTAGCTTTTATTTTCTTCAGGATGCTTTTCTCAGTACATCCCAATTTAACTGATTCAGAATTGATGCATTTTGAATTACTGGTTTTGTTGAGAATAATACTGTCATAACTAAATTTTTCTTATAATTTGTTTTCTCATTATATACTTATTTTTCACCCTCCTACCCTCCTTTGTTTCTGAGCTTTTGTTGACAAATGCAGCAACACCTAGTAATTGTAGATAAAAAGGGAGACTCTTGTCTACCTTAAGGGCATGTAGATTTGTTTTGAATCTCTTTCATTTTAAATTTTCCTACTTTAGAGAATACAGTGTCCATAAGTAGTTTTCCAAATCTAATTATACTTGGCACAACTTTGTTGGGAAACAGAAATGGAGATTATTAGGTCCTTGAGTACCAAGACATTTTGAATAAAGAGGGTATTATTGTGTAGGATCTGTGCTGAAAACTTGGCATTTGGTGAATGTTCTATTTCATGTTCTAAGACTGAAATTGCTGGGCTACATTTTCCTCTCATTACAACTTCCTCTATTTTATCAACACCCTAATAAGGAAATTTGTTTCCTAAGTATTCATATTTCTTTTTAAAGTAATTTCTTTGTCTGGCATCTTTAGCCTGCGTATTGTGAAAATCTGTTAAAACACACAAGGACCCATTTATGATGATTTTTCTATTGTTTGTTTCTAAGATTACTTCCTCCTTAAGAATTTATAATAATATAATCATTTGTTGTTGAGATAAAACTTTTCTGATTATATGACAGGTATCAACCAGTACTTTCTTTTGAATCTGCTAATTTAGGACGTTCGGTGTTACTTAAAATAGTATATTATACATTCAGTTTTAGATACTCAAGTTAATGAACTTAAAAATATCCAAAATCTTTACCTATTCCTATTCCTTTACCACACTATCTGTATGTATGTGACTCTAGTTTTCCCCGCATCTTGACATACAATAACAGAATGATGTTGATAAGCTCCATCATTAGATTCCTCAGTTCCATAGAATAACTGGATTTTGGGCCTGTATTCACTGAGTTGTAAACATGGGACTGCTCTGTGATAGCATCTTGCATCTGTTTGGGGTATATCTTATGATAATATATTTTAAAAATCCTATCTGAAAGTTACCCGTTCATGCACAATTCTAGCAACATGATTTAAATTGTTATAGTCTACAGCAGCCAAAGTAGTACATCATCCAATTATATGCTCTATTGTCTCATTATCCACTTGACTTTGGCTCTAAAAAAATGATTGCATGTATATAATGAGAGAACCGTCCTTGATGATAGGTGTAATCATGCTTTCCTGAACTGCCACAACAAACATCAGAGCTTCACCAATCAAGATGCTTTGCCTCACTTGAGAGTGAGTGTGGTTTTATCTATGTAAATTAGGATAATCTGATGCATGTTGGTACTTAGAAAAAACGTTTTTAGTGACCAAGTTTTAACTTGTTTTTGGATCATTTTTTAAATGTTCTGCTTTTATACTTTTTCCTCTCATGTTTTAGTATAAAGCCATTTAATATGTGTGCAGGTATTTTTAGTTTCAATCTGAAATGTTTAAAGCTGTTGTTTGAAG